AGGCTTATTGGACGGAGTTCATTGGGGTTATGGTGTGAGATTTTTTCTGCTTTGGATATAAAAACTACTCTAACCTCCCTCCTTTTAATCGGAACATAGTTAAAAATGAAACAATGTCTAAAAATTGCCAAAAGCTGGTTGTGTATTAGCTCCCAAGAATTTTGTAGCTCAATTGGATGGATATCATTCGGTCCTGGTGATTTATAGGGTCTGAATATAGGTTTACTTTAATAGAGTTAACGGGTGAGAGATTAAGGCACTCTGTGGATGCAATTACCAAAGTAGAAAATCCTGGAAAGTGAGTATCTAGTAGTAATTCTAATGATTCACTACTACTGTAGCACCATATCCAATCAGATTTTTTGAGTAACTCAGGGACGGATGGATTTTTCGATTAGATTTGACGCAGCCTAGAGGTTTCGGAATTGCTGTTTATTTCCTGAAAGATCTTGTATTCTAGCCAGTCACTCTCACAATTGTTTAATTTTGCCCCATTAAAAAGTCTCCTACACTCCTTTCGCAAAAGACCTAAGTCTTTATTCCACCACGGTGGGTTGCAGTCGCTACTAGGACGAGTAGGTGGACAGGCATAATTAAAAACTTCATTGAGCACTGACGCCAGATCCTGGATTTGATTGTCTAGATCAACAGTGTTCTCTGGGAGATCGGAGGAAATGCTCGATAACAGCTCACTTAACCACTCTTATATGTCGTTCAGTTTGTATTTTTAATATTTTTTATGTTACATACAGTAGAAAAAGATCTGCTCAACCCAGTACGTAAACTATGAGGTCACCTTTCAGGAATAAGACTTAGTTAACACAAGTAGAAAGTACACGTTCTTCCGGAAAACTATTGTGGCTTGATACATCCTTATACTCCTCCAAATTAAATATTTATAAGATTTATATCATAACATAAAGGCTGGCGCTATACTCCAAATGAGTTTAAGTGATAAAGCGCATATCATAGATATTGAACCCAATTAGCTATTCAAAAATTCATTCAAGTGAAACTGAAGTAAACTTGAAAAAAAACTGATTGGTGTTATAAATATACACATAACATTTTCTCGACATGGAATGTCGAGGAATTGTAAGACAACACAAGGTGAACTGTCATTACTACCTTTGGTAACTACACAATGGAATTAGACTTAAGTTTACGATGCCAAATGCTTAAACCATTTTGATTTGTTAGTGGATCTGAGAAACAAACAACTTCTAAACATTACGTCGAAACTTAACACACAAGGTAACCTTTCGGCTACTCCACCCTCAACCAATTTCACAGTAACACAAATGACATAATCGATCTTCTCAAGAAATTTGTTATCATATGACCTGTTTTGAGAAAGTCATTTTCCGACTCTCAAAAGTATATGGTTTCACACCAAATTGAAACAGTAGACAACATTGTTAACGATCGTCCTAGAAGGATAACTGGAGAAAAAGTTGCTGTTGCTAAGGCTGAAATAAATTTCCTACTAGACCAGGGTGTTTACCACCTGTCAAAAAGTCCAGTATAACGCATGTTTTTGCTGTAAAATTGCATGACAAAACAATATTTTGAGCACTTAATTTGGCAATAGCATATAATTGGATTCCAATAGCAGAGGGTGATAATCAAAAGACAGCCGTGTGCATACCTTTTGGACTGATTAAATTTCAGTACATGCCTTTCGGATAAAAAAGACAACGCAGGCATTCCACCATTTCATGGACTAAATTTTTCGGGTTCTTGATTTCGTATATTGCTATATTGATGACATTCTCATCAACTTGTGTAGAGAAACATGAACGCCATTTTCATGTAGTATGTACCAATTTGAGTTAACATAAACTCAGTATAAATGCCAACAAATATCAAATTGGGATAAATCAGAAACTCTATTTCTAGACCACACTGTCAACAAAAATGGCATTAAATCTCCACAGGATCGCATAGATACAACAATGAATTATGAACACCATGACACAACCAGTCAGTTAGTATGTTTTTTAATGGTCCTAAACTACTGTCGGCATTGCATCCCACACTTATCGCAACATCAAGCATAAATTAGTGATCTGGTACAAAACATAAAAAAGAAAGACAAACGAAAAATCTCTAGGACATTCGAAAGTCTGAAGTGTTTAACAACTCTTCAGTTGCAAATACTGCACTACTTGCGAATCCTACACCTGATGATGAATTTGAACTAATTCGTGATGCATCTGATGTTGCTATTGGCGCTGCTGTTAACAATATGACTAGAATAGTTGGGTGTCACTCGAATTTTTTTTGAGAAAAATATCAGCGGCAGAAAAAAATTACAGGGCTCACTATAAGGAAATATAAGCAATCTACAGCGTTTTTTTCTTTTGTTTTTTTCAAACACCTTCTAGACACTCGAGTATTCGTTATTACAACAGACTACAAACCGCTGATATATCTTTCAAGCGAAAACCAGAAAAGGTATCGCGACGACAAATTCGCAATCTTACATCTGTCTGGAAATCACAATGTTGTGACAGATGCGTTCTCTTATATTTCAGCTGTATCGTCAATTTATGAATCGTTGCTACGGAACAACAAACTAAAACAAATTAAAGACACTGTTTCAAGAAGAGCCACCGTTAGAGTTACAATTAATTGCGTTAGAGTTACAATTAATTAAACGACAATTTATCCTTATACTGCGATGATCCTACACGAATAATTCGATTATATGTGCCAGTATATTTGTGTTATAAAGTTCTTCCTTCAATTTACACCTCAGTATAGCATAGCACATCTCAGTGACAGAAGTTTTTGCTCTACAATTTTTAAGTAAATATTTAATTGATCGTAGCTTTGTTAATTAAGTAATTACTGCTACGGTGGGCTATGAGCCACTCAAGGGAATATTCTTCAACATGACTTGTGCTCATGGAACGACAGAAAAAACTAGATTTATTATTTCGTGATACACGCGCTTCAAGTGTGATGGACGTACTTTCGTTCCACGGTCTAAACCTCAACTCAGACCACTATCTAGTCACAGCCAATGTACGAATGTGGCTGAGTACTGCCAACTGCATACGTTCCCGTACACAGAAAAGACTTGACATCGGTAAACTGCGGTCACGCGAGACAGCCGAAGTCTTCGCCGCCCTCTCGTCCCGATAACACCGGCAAAGGGGACATATTTCTCATTCTTTACACACAACAGCGGAAGAAGTTCTTCGTTTCCAACATCCCCCGCCACGAAACCAATGGTACAACAAGCGATGTTGTCAAAGTACTGCTGCGAAGAACGCGACCTGCAGTCATCAGCTACTCGAATCGTGCGTAAATAATACCGTGAGATGACGAAGGTGAAGAGGCTCCAATTCAGATGGAAAAAACGAGATCATGAAAGGCTTGTCATATTTAAAAAAAAGCGGTCCGATGATTTGTGCCCTCGCGGGATCAGCTTAATAACTGTCGCGTACAAGGTCCTTTAAAATATACTGTGTGAAAGTTTCAAACTTTGAAACTACATGCCGACTTACTAAATGCCGCAACGTCAGAGCTCGGTATACTTGAAAAGTTAACACGAGTCTGCAGAATTACGTTGAGCAATAACTGTAGCTTCGTCATGGCAGGATTGTGTCTCTTCGCAGTTTTTGATCATGTGATCTTTTCAATTTCATTTTAGAAGTAATCATACACAAGGGAAGTATTCATTGTAATGAAATGGTGTCCAGATTTCTTACGTCGACAACAGTGACATCATTGGGCGTAGCAACCGAGATGTAACAACAGCCATGCTATCGAAAAGGAATCTACAAAAATTAGCTGAGCAGCGAATGAGGTCAAAACGAATTATATGTTGGCTACTGGTAAAAAAGTGTGTTGCTCAGATGCCGTGCTAGTGGCTGACGACTGTACTTTAAAATCTGTCACGGACGTCATCTACATTGACACCGCCGTTACGAACAACATCTATGTCAGTCTGTAGACCAAACGAAGAAACACCATTATCTATAGGTGCTACTATGGATCCAAGTGGCAATTGGGATGTAATGGTTTCCCTCGCAAAGAAGTATGGACGTTATCACAGAATTATGACGCAGCACTGAAAGTTTTTGAGAGAAAAGTTCTTAGTCAATTTTCTAGTTCCCTACGAGTTGGGACGACCATCGCATTCGAATGAGTCACTAATTGAACGGGCTTTATCACGATACTGATTTAATTCAGCAAATTAACATCCAGCGGCTTCGCTGTCTTGGTCATGTTCTGAAAATAGAGAATATATGAAGGTACTTCAGCAAAAAAGATATTTGAAGCGGTAGTTGAACGTAAGTGTAGAGGCAAGGCATACTGTGCTTCCGGTGGAGTGATCAAGTTAACAAAACTTAATGTACGAGACTGGAGAAGGTGCGCACGCAGCATAGGCGCCTATAGACATATGATACCTCAGGTTAAAACCAGCTAACGGGTTGTTATAGCCAAATAAATAACTAATAAATTACAATATTAGAATAATTTGATTATTAAAAAATTTTGAAATTGGTGCGTTATGTAATAAAAAGTGCATGAAAAAGCAAATACAATCAATTTCTCACTCGCAAAATTGTATGTTTATTTAATTTACAAAAATTAGACTGGAATAATATAAGTAATTTCACGAAGGCAGTAAAAGCGCGCACACCTTGCCAGTATCCAAGTAAGAAGAAGGAAGAAAAAGCAAAAACGAAGCCAAAAATTATTGTTTGCCAGATGTTGAAATGCCACTGTCAAAATCACTACAACAGTGATGCCATACTGCCTGCTTGTTGTGCCAAATCTCAAACATCCTGCCCGGCTGGACGGGTACGTTCAGAATGCTCCACAAACCTGCATATCTTCTGGATAGATCGCATGCATTCGCCAGTAGAATGCTTTGATTGTGACTACTTGTACCAACCCATCCTCGCGTAGGTGAAGTTTGATCACCCTGCCAAGCCGCCAATGTGTTGCTGGTAGATTCTCATGCCGAATAACCACGACATCGCCTATGTTGATGTGATAACCATTCTGATGCCATTTGGAACGTGGTTGCAAAGTTGAAAGATGTTCATCGTGCCATTGTCGCCAAAAATGCTGCTGCATTGTCGCCAGTATGACAATTTGTTGCTAGGTACCTTGCCAATAGGTTCATCTGGTACTACCAGTAGAGATCTTCCGATTAGGAAATCTGCAGGTGATAGAGCCATCTTATCGTCACAAGTGTCATGCAATGGTATGAGCGGACGTGAGCTCAAGGAAGCCTCGACGTGCACAAGTAGAGTATGTAGCTGATCATAGTAAATTGAATGAGTGCCAACAATGCGTGATAAGTATTTCTTTGCTGACTTAACGGCAGTTTCCCATAGACCGCCTTGATGTGGTGCGCCAGGTGGTAGAAAATGCCATTTTGTGCCTCGATTGGTCAATTGCTGTTGAGAATATTCATTATGCCAAACCTGTAAGTCAGCAGCCATTAAACAATCTGCGGCAATGAATGTAGTGCCATTGTCACTGTATAAGTGGTTACATGGACCACGCCGGTTTACGAAACAGGTGTATGCGTTTATGAATGCCTCAGAAGTGAGATCTTCAGCCAATTCGATGTGCACTGTCTTGGTCACCATGCACCCAAAGATTGCCACGTAAGCCCTCCGTACAGTTTGTACAGCCTTGGAGCCAATTCGTATGTTGAATGGACCGCAATAGTCTAAGCCAGATCTTGCAAATGGTGGAGATAAAGTGACTCGAGTCTTTGGTAATGTCGCCATACGTTGTTTTAGAACTATGTGTTTATGCCGCCTGCATATCGCACATGAGTGTATGCTTTGCTTAATCAAAATGTATGCCTGTAAAATCCAATATTTGTGTCGAACAGTATGCAGTATAAGATGTATACCGCCATGAAGTGTATCTTGATGCACCTGCCATATTAAAAGCCTAGCCAATGTGCTACCGTTAGGAAGAATGATTGGATAATGTCATGCCTCTGTCACCCTCGCATTATGTAGGCGTCCGCCTACTCGCAATATCTTGTCCGCAGTCGAGCTGATGAACGGGCTCAGTTCAATGAGCTTGCTGGATATGGATATGGACTGCGCCTTTTGCAGCTGCGTGAGTTCCGCTGCGAAATATTTTGCTTGCTCTGCCTTCATGTGGTGATTTAAAGCTATCTCCATTTCGCCTGTACAGATGTGTGTATGCGAGCGAAAACGCAATATGTATGCAATAGTGCGCAATAGCTTGCCAAGATGACAGATCTATGACGACCAATTCAACGCCAGAAGTGTACTGTGTCTGTAGTGCGGGTTGACCTATTACCTGCAATGCCTTTACCTTAAGTGGTTTTAACTCCCCTTCCATTATTGCCAGCTCTGTTAGTGCACAGTTGTTCAGCTCATTGATAGAGCAATATTTGAGTCGGAGTATAGAGTGTATGGTACGTGCTCCAAATGCAAAGCCTGCCTTGTTTCGTATAAAAGGGTAGCCGACAATTACATAGCGCAAAGTTCCAATCGGGGTATTGTTACCGAATGTAATGGTGCCACTTTAGTTTTTGATGCAATGACGTGACTAGTGATATTGCCATCGTGGTTTGTTGCCAAAAAGAGCCATCGCCCTGACACTAGCATCGCAGAAGCTATTAAGTTGTATTTCATCCCCGGGTTGTATGCCTATCCAAAGCGGTATTCGCACTGCCTCCAGTTGCGACAGCTGCCTTCGGTATATAAGCTATTCTTGCAACAGTTCAAGTGGTAATGGGTCGTCCCGTGTTAAGTTTTGCCTGCCAGAGTTTTTGTATGAAAAGCTTAGCCGTGATGATGACTGGTGCTAAAATGCCAATTGAATCATATAATTTCGCAGCGTCGCTAAGCACTTGCCTTTTAGTGAGATGCTGTGTATCATAAGAGCTGACCTGATAAAAGCGTTCATCGGGAAGTGGATCCCAATGCAAGCCAAGAACAGTGGTTTCTGCCAAATTTGGATTAAGCTGACATGGATCAGCATCGCCAAGAAGGTGTGCCATGACTTCAGTGCTATTTGATTTCCATATCCTGCAATGGAACTGTCCTTCTGTCAATACATATGAGATATTGCCATGCCAATGAAAGGTATTTAGCAGTTTTAGCTCGTAGTTCATCTGGGAGTTTATGAGAATTGTCTCTGCCAAATATGTGCAACTGGTTGTGCCATATGTCACGGTAGCCAATTGAAATGTGCGAATGGGTTGATCGGACGATTCCCGCCTAACGTCAATTTTGACTTGCCTGAATATTTTCTCCACATCAGCTGTGAATGCAATGCGATGCTGCCTGAAGCGAAGCAAAAGGTTGAGCAATAAATCCTGTATTGGAGTGCCAGCCAATTGTATATCATTTAATGAGATGCCATTCGAGGTTTTTGCGGAAGCATTGAAAACGACTCGGAATTTTGCCATAACTGCATGATGTGGAATGTAGTATACCTGAGTTGGGTCACCTAAACGATGCTGAATAGGGTGCATGTGACCAAGCTGTTCGTATTCGCGCATAAAGGCTACATATCTTTGCCTGAGCTCTGAGTTGGACGCCAATTTTCATTCCAACTGATTAAATTGCCTGAGTGCCATCTGATGTGAATTGCCAAGTTTTGGAGCATCTGGTGTAAATGGTATTTGTACTCCGTAACTGCCATCATCAAAACGTTTATGTGTGTTCATGAAAATGCATTCGGAAAGTTCAACTGCTGGTAGTTTATCGCCTTTAGCCATGTCAATGCCATAGTTTGCTCCGCCTTGTAGTTATGCTTGGTTGCTTCGGCTGGTCCGAATACAACCCAGCCTAATTGCGTATTTTTTTGCTACAGGATCATCAAGTTCGCCACGAACTATGCCATCTGCCAACAATTGGCCCCACAAGTCAGAGCCAAGCAATGCATCTATGGCACCTGTCTCGCCAAACTTCGGGTCTGCCAAAGGTAAATGTCGTAAATGCTGCCAACAGTTTTCCATGATATGAGCGACAGGGATTGCTGAGGTGATTTTGTTGATAATGAAGAATTCAACATCCAAGTCAAATGAAGCATTAACAGTCGAAAATATGCGTGAGACTGCCCAACCACCACTATATGAGCGATTGTCACTGCCAAAGCCTTGTATTTGTAATGCACTTTTCTGCTTCCGCAGAGCTAATTGATTGAAATATCGCATAGTGATTAGACTTACCTGGGACCCTGGATCGCATAGAGCTCGACACGAGTCGATATCGCCAAATCCATTTAAGATACGTACTTGTGCTGCTGCCAAGAGTATAATCCGATTGCCTGTAGTAGCGAATGTCTGCATTGGATAGTGTAGTCACTGATGCAAACGTGGTGAGACGCCAGCCTGGTTTGGTTTCACTGGTGCTTGAGGTGTAGTTTGTGCCTGCTGTTTGGACTCTTACAAAGGAGGAATTTTACTGGTGAACTTCGGCATAGTAGAGTGTGATGCTTGCCATTACATATGTGGCAATTAGTTGAGCCACATGCCTTAATGAAATGTCCAGTTTTCAAGCAATTGGAGCAAATATTCGAGCCTTTGACAATGTGAAGCGCTCCGCTGAGGGGGGGGGGGCAAGCCAATAGCCTGCTGCAGTTGCCTATTTGGTGCGCTGCGTCATTGCAAAACTGGCAGTGGCCAGGAATAGTTGCTATTAGGTTTGTCCTCATTACACGTGAGCCTGGCCTTTATGATCACCCTGAGATGTGCCACGATATTGCAGTGTAGTAGCCTTGCCATCAGATTTTGGTTTGCTTTTCAATGCTCGCCAAACATTGCCAACTAGACTGTGAGCTCGAGTCTCCAAGAATGCAAGCCAAATCTGCCAAAAGAGGTATTTATTGTGCGGCTCATGCCCCATCCCTGTTGCGTAACGGTTGGTAACTTGGCCACTATAATGGGTACCGCCAATGCATGCCATTGATCCACGGATAGGTTCATTACCGCAAGCGCTCGCAAGGACTCTCGCACTGTGTCAACCACCGAGAGCAACGCATATGTTGACTCAGCTTGTGGTGAGTTGAAGCCAATTAGCCTAGCCACGTGTATTTCAGCCAGCAGCTTCGGATTGTCATACCAAGACTTGAGTGCTGCCCATACCTCATCGTATCCGCCACTGTACATGCCTGCGACTAATGCCACTGCGTCACCAAGCTTGTGTGGTAATACCAAGCTTGTATGCCTCCGGAAACTCTTGCGAGTGCACCAACGTTTGAAATGTATCCTTAAATGCCAGTCAGTTACGCATCGTACCATCAAACTTGGGTATCGCCAACTGTTCTAATTTAATTGCCAAGCCATGAGGAGACGCAGCACCGCCTGCATTGTTAGATGCTGCATCTATATATTGTGCATCACAGCGGGCCAACTTATGCCGGAATGCAACGAATGTCTCGTTGTACAGGTCTTCGATCTCTTCGATCTCGATGCCTGACCTTGTTACATGCCAAAGCCATCCTCCACATAATCGTCTATCAATATTTTTGCAGCCACTCGTTTCAATGCTGACCACGCAGCCGTACGCTTATTTAGGGCAGCCATTTTTCTCGTCATATGACACCAACTTTGTATTACACCAAAAAAGTTTTTATTAAACAACCGAAACTCCCGGGTTTCGGCACTAACAAATGTATGAAAAAGCAAATACAATTAATTTTAAAGCAAATGCAAAAACTATTTTTGACGGATGTCAATGTCAATATTTTTTAACTGTACTGTTGAACTGCAGGAGTTATGGCGCATCTCCTGCTCAATCTCCGTTTTCAAAATTATAAATTAAAATTACAAAAAATGTTAAATTTATTTGTGCATTTTTATTAAAAAAGAATTAAGTAGCTGATTCAGTTTTTTTTGTGTAGACTTTACTTTGCCAGTATTAAACACTGTATTCTTTAAATTACAAAGTAATCTTTATATTAAGAAATTTCGTAAACGACTGTTGAAAAAAAAAATTGCAGTTTTAAATGAAAAGTTGTCCTCTCATACAATTCACTATAAATTAATCTCGATGAACACGAGAACTCATTTTATGGTACACAAAAAAAAACTATAAAACTACGTTAAATTAACGCCCAAATTTCAACCACAGCATGCATTCACCAATAATAACATACATTTTTATAATTTACATAAAATATACATAATTTTTATTATTAATATATTACATTATAATATTGTTCTTTTTATTACCACACCAATAATACAAATTCAAATACGTCTCTTATTGTTATAAGAGACGTATATAATTAATTATTTTGCTACTCGTCTCTGTTGCTCATTTGGTTCCATTTTGCGGAAGTTCCAACTTCCTTGTCCGTCAAATTCTAGAATGTGTGTATGGTATTTCCTAAAAATATTTATATATAGATTGCAAATAAAAATTAATTTCGTTTTATTTTTCATACCATAAGGTCGGTCTATGCGTAATTGTTAGAAGAGTTATACCCATACTTTTTGCCTCCTCATATATGGAGCTTTCGACATCAATTGAAACAGCACTAGTGCATTCATCAAGTAAAGCATATTTAGGTCTAAAATTAAAAAATTAAACGAAAGATTTGTTGAGAAAATAGCTAGGAAATTAATTTTTGTAATTAGATTCAAGTCTTGTTTTGATGTGATTATTATTTTTCTTGTTTTAGTTTTTATTATTTATTTCAAATATAACTATAACTATATAAATATTAACTAATACTTTAATAGCTAGTTCTACAATTGGTTGAAACTCAACCTTTTTTGTCTTTCGGTTCTATCCGTCAATATTGTTGCTTGGAGTTTTATTTAAATTTGCTTAAGAAATTATTGATCAATATAAAATAACGAACTTAATAAAAAGGATAAATTAACTAAACTCATAATAGATATAAGAACATATATAGTCTGATATATACAATATTATAAAATAAAAAAGAATGCGTTCATTACTGTAATTTCTATTTTTTTATATAAAATTTTATATCATATTAATATTTAATCATAATTTAATAAATTTGAAGCTTTGATGCTTCTTCTTCTATCAATTATTTTTACAAATTACCTATAATCAGTAGCAGTATTCTTCAATTATAATTTGTAATATAGAAATCAATTACAAATTTACCATTACCCTGTAATTAGTAATTGGGTTTTGTAATTATAATTACACTTATAATTTAACATCTCAATTACCAATTAAAATTACCCTGTAATTATTAATTAAGGGTAATCTACTTATAAAAGTAATCATTACTGCACAGGTGCGGAATCAAATCATAAAATCTTGTAAATCTAATAAGTTAAAATTAGGTGGTTTCGTTTAAAAACTTCACATGTATGGTTTCAAATAGCAAGAATTCAATACAGACTACAACTACCAATACTATTATTTTTTAAACTGAGTAAAATTTTTTTCGGTATTCTAGATATCTATTATTGCCGATACATGTTGTCATAAGTAATGATAGATTGACTTACTACTTTAGCGTACAAGTAGTAGCATTAATTATGTTAATATTTCTTTAAATACAACGTAATTTGTATAAGTTACAACAATTACAATGCATTTGAAGGAGTAACAATAAAGACAACAGGTAAAGAAACTATAATATCTGGTTTGCGATTAGTAACAGTCCATGTTATTACTTCAATTTAATATGTAGATTAGTACATTGTATATAATATAACCATATCATTAAGTCATAATACAACGTTCATAAATACCATGAATAGTGATGCATTATAGTGATGAATTTCTTATAAATCCACTGAGTGCTTAACTTTAAATACTTACAACTACTTAAACTTACTTGTGATAAAATAATCTTGCAATTGCCATGCGCTGTTTTTCTCCGCCGGATAAAATATCTTTCCAATCCCTAATTCCATCAAAACTATCTCTGTTTTATATATATATTACATTAGTAATTTCATAATTTTTTAACATTAAATTACAAATACCTCTGTGCAATGTGTTCCAAATTAACCATTTTTAAAATTCTTTTAAGCTCATTTATTGTTATTCCTTTGTTCTTCATATCGTCTCTATTATCAGGATATATAATTTGATCACAAAGACTACCAATCGACATATAAGGCCTCTGAGGTATATAAAACATGCAGGGTTTTCCTTCAACAGGTCGGGGAATATGCAATTCACCCGAATATATAGGCCACATTCCGCTAAGTATACGAAAGAGGCTAGATTTTCCACATCCATTTGGCCCAGTTATTAATAAATGCATCCCTGGCTTAATACACAACGTTAGATTAGGTATAACAATATCACAGTTTGGTGTTACAACTGGAACCGAATGTAATGATATGCATGCTTCATTTTGTTCGTCAAAGTATATAATTTTTCCTTTTGCAATTGGGGTCCCATTACGAAATTCGATAATATTATTGGTAATCATTTTCTCATCCACTGTATTTCTTTTATATACACCTTGTGCAGTATCTTGTAAAACTTCAATCATTCCAGCTACTCTATGGGTATAACCAGCTAAGGCAACAATCTCTTTGTAAGAAGACATAAGACGTTCTATTGCATCAGCCGCTGATATAAGTAAATTACGGGCTGTAGTTAAGTATTGCGTTCGCTCGCTGATATTTGGATCTGTAACAGTTTTATCACCATTTTTTATATTTCCATTACTTGCATTATGTTGAAAGGAGGAGGTAAGAATCGGTAAAGATACCATAACCATGCCTGTTCCAGACCAAACATATTTCATAAAGAACTGTTCAAGCATTATAAACCAAAGTTTTTGTACAAATATATTATTCATTTGAATTGCAAGTCGATTATATGCTTGTCGAAGTTGTTGAAGTTCCACCTAGGTCAAAAATACACGGAACATAAATATTTTGCATATCAATATATTAGTGTAAAGAGTATAATTAAAACTAACAATATTTTAATACAAATAAAACACTATATATATGCGTTTATCATATATACATAAATAATTAGTCTAAATCCCACAGTGTCAATTTTAGTCTGTTAATACAACGTTTACATTAGGCCTTTTCTTTTGTAAGCATGTCGTAAAAGCACAAATAAAATAAGCACTACTTTCGATGGCAACTCTGGACAAAACGGAAAATTTGTTAGGCTTACATATGCAAAACGCGTAGCAAAATTTAAAGTTAAAATTTCAAAAATGAATAATAATTCTTTCCAATTATGAACTGGAAATTTCATATGTACTTCCAAAAATCGTTCACAATAAACAAGTTTTTAGTCTTGGCAACCATGCAATTTGAGCTGCTTATTAGTTAAGCGGTTTCAAAAAGGTTAGACTAAATAACGGAGCAGTGTTGTTGTTTCATATGTTATTTTTAAAATAAGCCGTTGTTCTTTTGTGATTTGCTTACAAAAGAAAACGCCTATTGTGTGATTAAAATTAGATCAGAGCAAATATCGTTAATATTTTTAATCTTTAAAGTTAATCTTTTTTTCGTCTGTGCAACTTTACAAATGGCTTAATATCGTATTTTTTTTTTGCGACCTTAAAAAATGTCTTAATATCGTAGATTTTTTTACGATCTTAAAGAAATATGTCAAAATCTATTCAAAACAAGCATTGAAAATTTGAAAATTCCGAACTGAGTGAAATTTCTATTAAATTCGTTTAATAATATTTTTATACATAATTATAACTAAAATTTATTAAATTATTGTTCTAAAACTATTTATTGAATATGTATTACAATTTTTTTTATACAAAATTGTAATTAAATGCTTTATTTACAGAAATTTATCAAACGCACGAACCAAAACACAACAAGAGGAACGTCAAAATTAATCTCCAATATATAATGTAAACGGTGGAGATTAAATATGCAAATTAACTTAATCTCGTTCTCTTAATCTCACAATGTAAACGTAATATAAGATGTATATTAGATTTTTAATTATTGTTTGATTGACGCTAAAGATTTTTCAGAATGGATTGAATTGGTTTTATTGATATAAATTATGATCTAGGACGATTAAATTAATACTGTTTATATAAATTTTTATTGCGTACATTCTAACAGGAAACGACATGAAACATTCTGGCCAAGCTCAGGTGAATTGCAATCCGATGACAAAACTATATATTTCTCAGGCAATGATACTAACAGGCATAATAAAGAAGTCAGAATCATTCTTTCAAAAAACAAACAGAACAATGCTTTTGAAGGTTGACACAAAACTCTTTGTAACTCTTTGCAAGAAAGCAACGAGTAATCTCCGAACTACTGAAACATACGAAGTCCCATGAATTGAATCTCATCATTGAAGACTTTAGTTCCAAATTAGGATCAGGTGCGGTGGAAGGAATAGTTGGATGCTCACCAACTTGGTTTGGTGCTTCAAAATGCCACTGGTCTGTCTGCAACATTCTCATTCGCAGAAACCAAACAACTGTTGGGTGCAGCAGTTGTAAAAACAGTTGTAATAACCATACTGATTGGAACTCTGCCTTTACAGGAGCCTATTGTCCAACTACTCCTCCATTTAGACTATCTCTATCGTAATCAACCACTGACAATCAGCTTTCAATCAATGCCACCCAACCTCTCTCCATGGCATTTCCATCTTTTATCAATTGGGTATGCACAGTCTGCAATCGAGCAATTTCTGCTATTTTAGACCTTGCTCTGGATTAAACTCGCACCATGGCCTGAATTTAAATTTCGTCGGCAATTGTTGCCAACTTCCACCCATAATTCCATTCTTAAAATTCTGCACATTAACTGTAATGCCCTTAGAAGGAAGCTTTCTGAAATTGCAGCATTTATGACCTCTCACAACATCGCAGTTGCACAACATCGTCAGATTTCACCATTATACGTACGGACCACCTCAGGGGAGCCGGAAGTGAAGTTGCCTTTTTCCTGCGGGATTCAATATCACATAGTGAGCTGACATTACCCCAGTCGAATGACGAATATTTAGAAGTAATAGGGTTAAAAATTTTTATTGGAAGGATATATAAAGTCATTGAAGTTATAAACATCTACCTGCCACCCAATTCTAGCTGCCCACTGCAGCATTCCCCTGATATTTTTCATCCTCTCGAAGGGGACTCACGTTTTGTGTTGGATGATTTGAATGCCCACCAACCTTATGTGGTTTTCTAACCTACCAACCGATCAGAGGGGTTATAATTGATAATTCTTCTTTTCATCAATTAGGGTAACACCAACTTCCTTTGGCTTTCCTGATGCCAGTTTCGCCAGCCCCAGGCTGCTTGCTGTCTCGAATCGGAGTGTGCAAATAGCTTAAAGCTCAGATCTCACTCCCATTACCATCTCAATTCCGTCGTTCGAGGTTTATTACGAAGCTGACAAGAAAACCTTCAAAAATTTTAAAAAGGCGAACTGGGCTCTATTTAAAGACGTCTCCGAAGGCGACTTTGGCAATATTTCCCTGTCCTGTGATTTAAATAAGGTAGAGGAACAATTTCGCAGTATTATCATCAAATCCGCTGCCACAGCTGTTCCTACTGGTAGGATCAAAGTATTAAGGCCGAACGTGATAATTTTCGTAGACTTGACTCAGCAAATCTACGAATAGTTACCCTGAACAGTAACATACGCAAAATGGTAGATAAACATCATTTAAATAAGTGGAAGGATCACTTAGACAGTTGCGATTCTCAAAATAGTAAATTGTGGACTACCATTACAGCACTATCTAACCCTTCACGCCCCAACAACAAATCGATAACTTTTAATGGGATCACCTTCTCCAATCCCAAGCATTGCTCCCAAAAATTTTGTCATCTTTTCGTGCCCCCAATGATGTAAATAATGTGATCAGACAAGTCACAGCCTCGAAAGCTCGATGCTCATGCTCAAGCATCTCGGGTCTATTGGCCTTTCAGTTCTGACTCATATTCTGAACACCTCTATCAGTTCCCACATCATCCTGATAGGATTATCCCTCTGCTGAAACCGGCCTAGGGGAACCATATGGACCGATCCCATTATTATCTCCAGTAGCCAAAGTTCTGGAGTCTTTAGTCTTAAAACAGATATCTTCATATATTCACTTAGCTCCCCATTCGCATGGATTTAGAAAACGACATAGCACCACCTCTGCTCTTTGCGAGATCACTCTTTGTGAGATATCCATGACTCTGCCCATTAATATTGGTGAATTCACGATCCCCACTACCACGAAACCCAAAATCCTGGGTGTCGTTCTCGACAGCATGTTGACCTTTTCCGCACATGCTTCAACCTTGTAAACGATTGAAATCCCGTAATAATGTGTTAAGAGCCCTCGCCGGATGCTCTTGGGGTAAAGATAAAAAACCCTGCTGAGCACATACAAAGCAATAGGTCGCCCTATTGCTGCCTATGCAACTCCAGTATGGACCCAGCAACTCTGCGAGATGCAGTGGAATAACATCCAAACATGTCAAAACACAGCTTTACGAATTGCAACCGGCTGCCATCGCATGTCGCATTCTGACCTCCTTCATGCGCAATCGAAACTATTTCTAGTAAAGGAACACAACCAACCGCTGTCCAAGCAATTTCTACTTTCGTGTCACACAGATGGACATCCTAATGGCGCCATGGCTAGTAGAGCCCTCTCTCCACGATGCATTCGTCGATCCCTTACCACCTTCTATAATCATATCGACCAATATTCAGAGATCGCATACAAACGTGAACTAATATCACTCCATACCGATGCAGTATCTTCTTCGAGACCTAGACTGACTTCAAACAAGGTCCTCAATGGGCATCCGCCTAATATCGTCCAGGATAAACGTAGTCTTTTCCGTGCAGCAAAAATTGCCCTAGCTCAATTGAGATCAGGATACAGCCTTGTGCTAAACAGTTACTTGTCACGCATAAACACGTCCGTTCCTAATGTGTGCCCAAACTGCAGCTCTGCCTCATGACGCCGCCCATTTGTTTTCTTGCCCCAATGCACACAGTGATTTAAGGCCAATCGACATTTAGACTCATCCCCTAGAGGTAGCTAGGTTTATTCGGCTGGACCCTGGTTAATTTCTATTATAACATCTCCCTCTTTCTTTATCCCCTTAACTCTAACCCCACCTATCCACTCCCTTACCCATTTATTCGTTTTGTAATCCTTACATGTTATCTGCTTTCAGATCCCAGCGGGCTACAACAACAACAACAGAAAAAGTGTACGATTTTTTATCTGTACTTTTAAGTAAATACTAAAAAGAGTAAAACTTTACTAAAAAGAGTAAAAAAGAGTAAAAACACTAAAACTTAATTATTTAAATAAAAGAAAACAAAATGAATATTAGAACGGTAATAGTTAGCATTTTTTTATTATATATTTAAATAAATTAATTAATTTATATATGTATTTAAATTTATGGGTGAATGAAATGTTCATATAATTTTAACCTAACTCTGAATGTTTTAAGAGCAGTGTTGTTGCTTCACATGTTTTCTTTCGTAAGTTGTGAGTATTTTTTTGCTACATTCATTTGTTGCAAATTCGAATAAATTGTTAACTAGTCACAATAAAAAATAACTCAAACATCAATAACAAAATACGGTTTGGAAAGAAATACTGAAGATGCTTTATGCTATTCAACAAAATCGATTCGCTTATTTTTTGTTTAAATGTTCTTTACCGTTAATTATTAGTACAATAACAGTGACTTAATCACGAAATACATTATTTAATTATTTATTTATAGCATTACGTTCCTAGATTAGGTTCTATACATAAGAAAGAACAAATCATACAACAAATAATGCCTCCACGAACAAAATAGTATTGAAATTTAACAATTGAAAATAAAATTATAATTAATTAATTAATTCAATTATTCTACAGCTGGTTTATGATTTCGTTCTAATATGAACACAGCAAGTAAAATTGTTAATAAAAACTTTCATAGTAATAGTAACAAAACTCCAGAAAAATATGCGAACAAAAAAAAAAAAAGTCAAGTACGGCTTTGGACCAGTTGGTTAAGGTGCGCTGATTCTGAGCTTCATATTTGACAGGACCCGAGTTCGATTCCTGGTACTTGCAGTCTCAAAAAATAATTATTTACGAATAATTAAATACAAGAATTATTTCCAAGACCACTGATGATGGGTATTTGGCAATACTCGAAACAGCTGTATGGTCAGCGAAAAATTCAATTAATTAAAATAATATAAAAAATAAATTTTTGTTGTTGTATTTCACTACTGTTCGAAAAAATCTCATTATTTATTTAAATATTATTTAATTATTTAATTTAATTAATCATGTTACGAATAACAAAATGTAAATATACAATTGACGTAACGAAAATTTTGATGTGACTTATGTTAACGTGAAATACGAATAATTGTATACATATATAGTTTACAATCTTAATATAGAAGTTGGATTTTTGAAACAGTTTAAGTAGATATTCTGACGACATATGATCACCTGATCGAACTATGTTTTAACAAAATGGTTATGTTCGTTGATATCATATTGGACTTGTTAGGCCCTCATTCAATTTTGTAAGTACATCGTAAACTCTACATCATGATATGTTGATACTGCCAGAATATTCCGTCATATCTCTAAAAAAAGTAATAATAATTACCTTATGTCCTCCATAAAAAGCTATTTCTTCAGCATTCGTGATTATCCGAGAGTGTATATGCCTCAGATATGCATAACGATTTGCTTCTTCTGATACAAGTTGTCCAAATTTTGGCGACACAATTCGCATAATGTATGCAGTAAGCGATATAACACATACAGCTAAAGTAGGTCCTACGTTAACACAATAAATATCAATTGTTATTTTTAAGCTAAAGTAGTATAGGTTTAAATGAAATTTATTTTTTAAATATAAAGGGCTAAATGTTAATAAAAAACTTACCAAATTTTTACTTAATAGTTAAATTTGCAGTTTCGGGTACTGCTAATTACTCTTCATCAATTATCTTTGAATATATTTGTTTTAAATTTGACAGATTAAAAGTTTCAAACTTGACACTTACAGTCAAAAAAAACCTATTAATGCATTTATAGAAGCAACAAACGATTCGATTAGGTAAATTTTGGATTATAATGTATAATAAAGGGTATTTTTTAGCAGGTGATATTTTTGACGTACAAAAATCGAATAGTTTATCCTTTATTGGAAAGCGGTGTACATATTTATATTGTAGTGGCATATTAACCTTGACCACACACAATACGTTGTGTGCGGTATTTAATGTGTCTCACTAACCCGAAACACTCAAATATCAAGCATGACAAATTATCATCAAGATTACCAGGGAATTGTAAATATTACTTTTCGCAATCATTGCTCAATAAAAAAATGTAAAATAATCACTTCGTTAATTTTAGCAGTAACTTTAAAAATTGACTTTTTACTTAAGTCAAATAGGAGTACATACATTTAGCACATACATTTATCGAACGTATAATTTTTTGCGTTTACGTACACAGTTATATGAACGCACTTAGTGAAATATTTGTGCGTTACAAATTTTTTCTATTTTTTCTTTTTTTTAAATAACATGTGAAATTGTGTGTTGTTCGCAAACTAAAATTTTCAAAGTCATGAAGTACGCAAGCACCCAAACACTCAAGAACTTAAGTTCAGTCAAGAATTCAAGGTTAGTTAATTATTACCCTGGATTAGGTAACATTGTCCAGTATTTGATTGGCAATTGTGGTGTACGGTCACTGACTGCGTTACTCCGCAAAGTCAAATAGCAAATTATTAAGGTTACCAAGTACTTAAGCACTCAAGGTCTATCAAACACTCAAAAAAACCAAGGGCCCTCCAAGTGGGCGGTACAGTTTGCCAAACATTGGACCGGTGAAACAGTTGGACAGATACTGGGTCGGAGCAAAAGTTTGAGAAGCGGTCACTAAGCACCATAGCAGAAGTGGTTAATGAAGCGGGTGTGTCAGAACCCCCTGACATCCCGTAACAGGTTAATTATGAAACCTCAACTGAAATGGTGAACATCAGTGTGAAAGGCCTCATTGAACTTAAAAAATTCAATGAAATTCTACAAGCCAACTACACCAAGCTAAGGCAGCAATATCAAACCCAGTAGCTGCTGGGAAACAATTAAACAATAATAAAAGGAAGAAGATCTCATTGCATTCCCCAGTCAGTTCCCCCGTAACTCCGCAGGCTCCAGCGAGGAAGACATGGAGATGGTAATCTCTGTAGACGAGGTTAACCCTTCCGAGATTCAGGCAACCGAACTTGATTTTCGAAATATGATTCAAAAATCAAATCAACCAAGCAGGTGAAATCTGTAGTAAAGAAAAGACTCCCCAAAACAGCACCACGTCCAGCGGCTAATGCAGCAGTCAAGTCGCCTGCCGTCCTCTCTTTAGAAACCCAAATGAAAATATCATATCACTACTGCCATAATAGACCATCACCGCAAGATAACAAGATATCTGAATGAGATCAGTGAGCCATTCCACACCCACTTTCTTCCCGATGAAAAACACCTCAATATTATAATTAACGATTTGGAGGGGCAGAACAATGAAAAAATAAAGATCTTGTAGGTCAAGGATTTAGCATCTTCGAATGCCACTTTTTGAAAACTAGGCAATTAACCAGCAATCTAGTCAAAATCCGACTGCCAGTAGACCAGAAGAACATCTATAATGTCTCCAGCATTTGTCAATTGAAGATGATAATCAAGCACAGCGCCCTCTAAAAGGTCCCCCACAATGTCATAATTGTCAGCAGTTCGAGCATGTCGCCACTAACTGCAGAGCCACACCAAAGTGTGCTAAGTGCGAGGGCTCGCACCGTCACCAACAATGCACAACACCGCGCGATACTGCCCCGATTTGTGGCGGCCACCCAGCCAACTACAGAAGTTGCCGCTGCGCTCCGCAAATCCTGAAGAAAAATAATTTCTCCACACTAATCTCAAAAGTCAGCTCCAAAGTGCAACCATCAATATCTTATGCCGATGCTGTGAAAAAAGCAACTACAGTCCAGCAACTTTAGTCCAATTCCCACTTGAAGAAACTTTTGGATAATATGCAAGCACAACTCAATACAATGATGAAAACTCTGATGCAGACCATGTTACAAAATTTAGTGCCAACCCTAGCTTCTAAATGAGTACATCACCACATCGCCTGAAAATTGTTACGTGAAATTCCAATCCCATTATTTACAAGATACATGAGGTCATCCAATTCCTGCATGATTTCGAAATAGACATCATGTTGATCCAAGAAACGTTTCTGAAACCAACTATCCAACTTAAAATCCCCAACTATGTCGTCTACAGGTCAGATAGAGTTTAAAGAAGAGGTGGAGGCACAGCCATCCAGATTAAATATAGCATTAAGCACCATGCTACAACCAACAACCCACAAACGTTCGAAGCAACATCCGTAACGGTCGAAAGCCAGCTTGGAAATATAAATTTCGTATCAGCATATAGGTCGCCGAGCTTGCAAATTTTCGCAAATAACCTTGAGGCTCTCCTCAAAAACGACATACCAATTTTTCTAGCGGGCGACATGAACGCATACCATAGCAGCTGGGGTGACAGAAGTTTAAACAGAACTGGCAGGGATATTGACGGGCTCGTCACAGAACACTTATGGCAAAATCATGCGCAAGGCGAACCGACACATTATGGCAGCACTACAGGCCATGTAATTGATTTCGACATATCGAACAACCTGGAGCTGAACGTTCACATAGAGGTCCTTGATGAACTGGATTTGAATCACAAACCAGTCCTTTTTATTCTTGAAAACTGCCCAGTAAACAACATGAATCACACGTACGTAACCACCGATTGGGACGCATTTAAGTACCAGGTTGATGTTGCAAGTATAAACAATTGTCACGCTCAAGATTAAGGAGGCCTTGGACAATAGCTTCATTACTATAATCAGAAAACCAAGTAGTTACTTCTATCTGCCGCAGGCCATCAAACAAATCATCAAGCGGCGTAATGCGATTCGAAAATTTGCCCAAATAGCCGCTGCGACAATTCTGTTGACGCATGGCATAAGTGATAGCACATTTAAGTCATCATATTTGTGAAACAAGTGGGTATATGGCTAAATACATATACCAGTTTGCTGATTGCATCAAATAGTATAAGTTTAGGTAATGCACATATTTCCCATGAATGCTCTTGGTCTTGAATGTTCAAACTCCATCGGATAACAAATCGTGGGAACTAGGTGCATTTCCTCATTTACCATAAGCTCAGTATTAAGAATTTTGTTTAAAAGCAGAACATTCTTTAATAAACATTCAATTCAATTTCAAAACCTGAATTCAACCAAGCATTTTCTTTGGTTTAAGTGCCTAAAGGAACCTTGATCAAAGTCGGTTTATGTGCCGAATTTGATAACTAATAACACCAAACAAATAAATAAATAATTAATTAAATAAACACATATATATATATAAATATACATATCTGTTTATAAAATACGTAACTGGTTCATGTGCCGGATTGCGTAAGTGAATACTAAGCTGGTTAATGTGCCGGATTAGTTAAATCCGTATCAGACTAGATACGCATGAAAACATACGTGTAAAAGCTAAGCTGGTTTACTTGCCGGATTAGCTAAAAGCTGTATCAAATTAGGTATAGTCCATAACAATAGTAATGAAAAATGGTGCGAAGTTCTGTCAGGTATTGATACAGGTGATAAAACTTTCTGAGCTTTGAATAAGTACTTCAGACTTAAAAGTAAACCGACAGTGCCGCTTATTAATGGAGCAGCATGGCTCTCACAGACATAGTCAAAGCCGAGGCATTTACAGATTCTCTGGAGCTGCAATCTCAACCCAATGCTGATAGTGACTATGATACTCAGGAGGAAGAAATTATTAAACAAGAGGCTGCTATTCTTAGGGACCAGGTACCCGATGAAAATATCAGCAACAAATGCCTGTGTAATCTTACAGAAGACGCAATCCAATGCATCGTTAACATCATCAACTGCATGTTTAGGCTTGATAAGTTCCCAAAGGCCTGGAAGATGGCCTCGGTAGGATATGTAGTGTTTCCTAAACCGGACAAGAATCCCTTATTTCCAGAGAACTGGCGTCCCATTAGCGCAACAGTAGTGAACGCCATAAATATCCTTCCGGACGAACAAATGGAGAACAGTGCAGCTGATATAAACCGCTATAAGTAAACGGGAATCAACCGGGATGATAATATTCGACATAGCCAAAGCCTTTGATAAGGTCTGGCATGATAGTTTTGTAGTCAAAATGGCCCATTTTGGGGTCCCCAGCGGACTGATTAAAATCATCGGTAGTTTCCTGCAAGAAAGGTCTTTCCGAACTAAAATCAACAGCACTTTTTCGTCCGCACGAACAATAGAAGCAAATGTAACTCAAGGGTCGCCACTGTCACCCACATTGTTTAATATATATACGGCAGACATCCCCACCTTAAGCCCGTGTCAATAGTTCCAGAAATGGAAGATTAAAATAAACAATGGCCACCAAACCACAAAAGAGTAAAAGTGCGCAACAACACTAACTCAAACCACAACAACAACAACTTTTTTTCATACAAAATTTGACACTTCATTTACCAAGAAGATAAATTTATACGTTTATAAGGTTTATAAGGCATTCATCAGTTTAGATAATACACAACAAGTTAATTCTAATATAGGTCAATAGAATGTAACTAAATTATACATACCTGATAATATGTTTGCCTTCATTTTCTGTGACGAACGCATCAACGTTAACCCAATTAACATCAAATCAAAGCAAGGCTTAGTTAAACTGCTATATAAATGAGCAATTGAACTTGAGAAAACAGAAATGTCCTCAGTTAATCTAAAAAACAATATTTGAATTTAATTAATTTAAATGTTATCAAATTTTAAATGAAGTATCAAAATAGATGATATTAGTAAAGTGATAATATTTTGATAGACAGACATATTTTGACAAATCAGAGATAACGTTCAGATAATAAAAAAAACTTAGTACTACAATATTTTAATCTATTTCAAATCCTCTAAAGATAAAAAACCCATTAGACATTTTAATTGTGATTTAAAATATTTAAAAAAAATATTCAAATGAAACTTTAACTTTAATCAAAACTACCTCTCTCTCAATTAATATTTCGTTCCCATAAATTCTTTTTTAATTAGAACCAAAATATTGGGTGTAGTAAAAAGAAATCCATTATTTTCCTAATAAATGGCCTTAGTTATCTGTATCTCGCGTTGTATAAATTCGATCGGATTACGCTAAATGGTGTTAGAAAAATGAATTTCGTACTAAAAAACAGTTCATTAATTGGTTGACTCAGTTATGTTTGAGTCAAAGTGCGTCAAAGATAGACACTAACAAAAAGAAAATACGCCACATTTACAGTTTTTCTTTAATAAAGTTTAAAACGCAAGCCAGGCGGCTGAAAATCTAAATAGTATCAACTGTAACAGCCAATCACGCTAAGTTTTGGTTTCGTCAATTCCGTTCTGGTGATTTCGATGTCAAAGATGCATCACCTACTGGAAGCCAACTGTCGTAAATGTCGATAAAATAAAATTGAAATTGCACAAGAGCTAAAGATTGCATAAAAGCTAGTTCGATGTATGGTATAAATGACATACAAGTTAACGCAAAAAAATCTCATGTACCGAAATTATATCTGCACATCGCTGCTGAACGGGAACAAAATCGACCCATTTCTGAAATGGCTGGTAAGTGGTGATGAAAAATGAATCACTTACGACTAGTTTTACGGTCATGACCAGAAAAAGAAAAAAACAAAGGCATGAGCCTTAACGTAAATTATTTGTAGAAATACATAAAGAAGAGCGTTTGCCTTCGAAAATACGATTTTCGAGTACGAAGCAAATACAAATACAACTTTGTTGTAAATGTAAATGTTATGACTTTATTATTAAGAACCTAAAATATTAATATTTATAATAATTATTTGTTTTTACTATAAACGTAGTTTTGTGATCGAAATTTTTTGATTTGATAAAGCAGAACAACTTTACAGTTCATTGAATACGTTAAAAAGGGTTATAATAAGGGTTGTGTTAGTACTTTGAACAGCGTTACCAACACCAAATTTTGTAAATGCATCAGATATCACAAAGATATAAGTAATCCACGTGCAAACGGATATAGGTTCCAGTACATTGCAATGAAAAGTACCTTAAATTTGTCCGTCCTTTATCTTATAACAGCATTCGGTCTACGCAGCAATGTAATCTTTAATGGCCTTTCCTATGCGGGGGAACCAAAACGTTTGTTAATCTCTCCTAAAAATTTTACTTCCTTTCAGGCCGAAAAATCTAGTAATCTGTGTTCCCTATTCCCTATTCCGATTGTAAAATAGCCATGTCCGGGTATAGGTAATCTCTGTCCGAATCGACTTTCCCTTATCCGCAACTTGTGGGTTAAAAATTATGAACCAAATATAAATATAACGAAAATAAGCTCGTTAAAACCGAGTTCTACTTTTTCGGACACTACATGTCCTAATAAGGTACCCACCGCGACTTCTGGCGGTAATAAAAGAGTACCTTTTAACAACTCTGCTAATTCCACGCATTCTGTTTCGTCTACGAGATCTGATCCTCCTTCAAGGAGAATTTATAAAAAGTGCGAGCGGCGACCAGACTGTTTAAAAGGTACAAAAATATTTCGGTTACACCCCAATCATTAAGTTTTAGATTAACTTGGCTTAAGCAGGTCCTTAATGCTCCTAAGAATAACAAAAAGAAACCGGTATCGAAGCGTCAGCACTAATTGGATAATCAGCTTCGAAATCAACCGTTAAATACGTGAAATAACGTGGCAACGCCACCTCAACAAAGCGCTCTACATGTTACAGTGGTGGAGAGGACTGAATCCACACAATACCAACATGAGGGTCGAATAAATTAATCTGCATCACTGGAAGGTTGCATCCGCCAGCCTACAGTAGCGCCTTCACAATAACGTGCTTGACATGGTCCTGGTACAAGAAACATTTGTTTACAAGAATCTTGTATGCGAAATCAGGACAAAAAATAATTGTATGCGATAAACAAGGGTAAGCCGTGATCCTGCATACTAATTAATAAAAAAAAAGAATAATCTCTTACTCTTGCAGTTTAATGACGGAAATCAAACCGCAATAAGTATTGAGAGCTCCTGGGGCGAAATATGGACAGTATCCGCATGTCTGGCACATAACAACGCTCCACTACCATCGGATATCCTAATACAGCTAACAAGCGGCGCCAGAGACTTGGTGTGGAGCTGATTATAGACTGTGATGCCAATGCTCATCATGAGGTTTGTGGCAGCTCAAATACAAATAAAATAAGTGAGTTACTTTTTGATTTTATTTTTAGTTGCAATCATTTTATATGCAATGATGGCAAAAGACCAACTTTTATTACTAAAAACAGGCAGGAAGTATTAGGCATTACCTTCGCTACTGCCAAGCTTCATGTTATTCACGAATTAAAAAGTAAATCGTTCTTAGACCATATGATCATAGAATTTAACTTAATCCTAGATGAATTAAGTGTCTGCAGTCAAAAATAGTTCAAAAATGTTGAGAATACTAACTGGAAAAATTACAAATCAGTTGTAACTGAGCTGATGTTAAGTATGTCCTTCGATCCCCCAGGGAATACTGATGACAAACAAAATTTGATGTGAAATCTTTCCTCAAGAAAATCAGATCGCTAAATTAACTTTGGGATGTTCACAAACCACATGCGTAACTATTAAACAAATGCAGATATTGATATAAAATCTGATATAGATGTTATTGATAGTAATACTAACCAGAAAAAAATTGCTAGACTTAAAAAGTCAGCATATATTAAATGAAAAATTTTATTTTATTTTTTGATCATTGGTATTTCCAAGAGTCTTACACATTTAAGTTCTATACAATAAACCAAATCCAAGATCTCACTTTAATGCTCAATAAAGCTTTTAATCATGCCTGTCTCCCTACTCGACCTAGTAGGAAATGCAATCCATCTTGGTGAAATAAAGACTAAGGTCTTTTGCAAAAAAGGGTGTACGAGACTGTTCAATACGGGGAAACTAAATAAAGGTGAGTGATTGATTAGAATACAAGATATCTCTGCAAAAATATAAGAAGAATCTTAAAACGTCTAAAATGAATAGCTGGCATTCATACTGCTAGAAAATAAACAGGAATTCTGAAATCTTTAGACTGGGTAAAATTCTATTCAAGAACTCATCTATCCCTGAGTTACTCAAAAAACCTGATGGGATATGGTCTAGCAATAGTAATAATTTACTGGACTTACTACTAGATACTCACTTACCGGAACTTCCTCTGCTTCAACAATTGCATTCACGGAGTGCCTAAATTTCTCACCGGTTAACTCTGTCAAGGTAAACCTGAAGACAGGACCAGATGGAAAACATCCAATTGGGCTCCAAAATCAGTTGCCAACTAGCAAATTTATTGAAGTAATGATGGACTCATCAACAGCAATAGCTATTTACAATTTTTTCTGAAAAGTGATCGCTCCGCAATTTCTATTGTTTTTAATCCGAAAAGTTAAATTTCAAAGTTATAAACACTTGATCCGTTGATCATAAATAAAATAAAATTGATCAAAACGGTGCCCGATTTTAAAAGGTGAAGTTCAGTTTTGTATATTTAAAAATTTTTTATTCTAAAAAATTAAACTTTAATTTGCAAATTAAACAAAGGCAAAAAAAAACAAAAATAAAATTTTATTTGCTCAACAGCTGATAGAGACAGCATATGCTTTTCTTAACGAAAGTAAGAAATTGCAAATGTGGCGTTGCCACAGTGTAAGTTATAAATACCTTTAAAAACTTAAATAAAAATAAATTTTTATTTATTTATAAACCTAAAATATTTTAAATAACTAAATAAACGAACTGTAAATATATTGTGACACTCTTATATTTTGTTCAATTCTTTCAATTATTTATAATTGTTTTCGTAATTTTGGTTTACTTCGTGAAAACTGTGCGTTACAGGATAACTACAACACTTAAACAACCAGACATTTTTCAAATCTGTCATCGACATAAACTTTATTTTAGGCTTTGAACTATGATCAGCGAATAGCTCAGCCTAAAAGGATGCAAGATGCCATGAGGAATATTCCATCCCCTTCATGTAGAAATGAAAGGCCTTTGGATCAGACTCAAGATAACATGCTAATTGAGTTAAAACGTAACATTAAATTTTTAACAGAAAAAATAAATCTATTAGAAATCAGTTGTGAAAGTCTTAAAAAAGAAAATCAAAAACTAAAGGCAGAAAAGAATAGTACACTATCACAAAAGAAAGAAGCTGAAAAGAATGCTGTTGATGCAAAATTAGATAGCACGAGTGTTCAGTACCACACTGATGAAGAAGAATTGGCGTTAGAAACTGACTGGATATTGAAACAAAAACGTCCGAATAAAAAACGAAAAGCTGAATCTTCTCCAGAGCTTCATGTTTCATATGATAAAAATACAAATCCCAATCCGAAACCGGAAATTCTATTAAATACTAAAGGCCCCAAAGTGCATTCTCCCCCTCCAATAATGATATCAGGAGTTACTGATTACATAAAGATTTACGAAGACATTAAAAACACTGCGAAAACTGATTTTTCATTCAAGCTTATAAATAACGGGAAGTATAAGCTCAATACCAGGGAAGCAGATGACTACAGAAGCATAACAAAGCTGCTGTCTAATACTAAGATAGATTGGTACTCATATGAAGATAAACAAACAAGACCTATTCGTGTTATTGTTAAAAACCTGCATCACTCCTGTGAACCTAAACTTATTGTCGAGGACTT